AACATTCAATAATTGATTCGATTAATTCATCAATGAAATGCAATCATGAAATTGAACAGACGAATGAATATAATTACAAACAGTCTGTAAACAGAATGATCGCCTGTATAAAGAAAAGAATGAATGAAAACAAGCATTCTCAAAACGACCTGTTTCTTTTCGAGTATTTGCTTTATACCAGGAATTGAACCCTTTTCACCGAATTTCTTACTCAAATCTTCATCGAAAATTGCGCCAATTCGTTGTTGTAGTGCCAAATACGAATTGAACAATTTCTCTTCCATTGTTTTACCACGCACTTGATTCGAGACGAATTCCTTGAAATGTTCACGTTAGTAATATGTAACGAAAACTCGATGGCTTTCAGCATTTCGCTTGTCGATTGCTTCCATAATATCAACTGCACTATGCGAGCACTTGGCGAGTTGGTCAACGATCACGCACATTCGTCTTTACCCATACATCCGAACTTTAAAACTGAAAGTGTCCTTCACCGAAACCACTCTCGAATAAATAACGTAACAAAGCCAAACGCACTACTCACCAATCGATCAGTATTACTACTGTCTTTCAAAGCCAGTTTAATATTACGGATTGTTTCGGTTGCTTCGAGTAATTTTCTTAGATTCACCGTTTGAGGATCCTCGAATTTATCACCTTTGAACAGACGAATTGGTCGATATTTCGTTGGTGGTACCAATACTTTTTCACAGAATAATACATCCATTGGATATTCGATTCTCTTAAGACAATTGATGATGATTATGAGTAATCAATAAACATACTCATGGAGAGGTGAACATAAATATCATCGAAACTCAAGTGAAAACGTAGAATATGAATAGAAAATTCGACACTCAAATTTCATTCAAATAGTGACTGCTGCATCAAAACACTCAGGAATTCTTCAACGCTGTAATACGAATGGAAAAAATTCTTCAATGTAAGTTTCGATGGAGATGACGTCTGAATGAAATTCGAACATTGTAATCGCTATCCGCGCGACCAATTATCATTAGTCTGTTTCTTAAGAACAATTTTGAAATCATGAACGGAAGAAAGGATGAAAATGCTTGAAGAACAACCAAGAAGTAGCTTACATTATCACGCTGATCGAACAACGGAAACACTTTTCTCAAGAAATTTGACTCGTTCTTCCAAAGCATTCTGAAATGCTGCCGAACTTCAAAACCTCCCCACGCTAACTTATCACAAGTACCATTTTCAACAGCCACCAACTGCTTCGACAATAATAATTCAGCATTATCATCCATTGCTGGTGACATCGTCAAATAATCTTCATTTAGCATCTTCTTATCGTCATCTCAAATTACTTCTTCGTTTTATTAATCTTTCCGTTAATCATTCCACTGGCAATCAATAAACAGTGATTCGGATATTACTGATTTAAGTATTTCGCATATCATCACTGAACAATCAAATTGTATTACGTAATTTAACTGGAGCCCGAAAATTACCTAACTCTTCGATAAAACCAGTGGAATACCTAATATTGCTGATTATTTTATCGAAAGAACGAATGAATACATTTCCAAAATGAATGACTGATAGAAGTAATCAGAACGCTGCACAATATGATACGACAAAACGAACATCTTGCTGATTTGGTCCCAACACCAAAATGAATTAATATACATCGACCAACATCGTTCTTAATTGTACCATTATTACGTCCACATAACTGGCAACGTCGCACATGTTTGAACTGCAATATGAAATTATTTTGTATTTGACGTGAACGAAAGTATATCGAATACATTGTATATTTCAGAAACTCCTTTTTTTTCATATTTTCGATTGGATGAATGAGTTTTTGTTGTAAATAAAGTACTGAAAAACGGGAACACTCGGCTGTTTCAACAATTTTGAAAACAAACGGAAGTACATTTTCACTTGAAGTAAGACAGAAGAAAGCATAGAACAGTTGAGCATATCAGCGATCTGTTCACTCAAATGGGAATAGGAGATTGAAGTAAATATAGATAAATAATTGTACAAAGACGACGAACTGAATTTCTGACGGTAAATTTTAATACTTACAAGATGATTTCTCAAGTAGGCACGTAATAATGATTGTCTTAATTCGACACCATTCTTCACCGGTTTCACTGAATGCTCATCAGAATTTGTTTTTGCTCGCTCTGTGATTCGATTCAGAGCAGAATCGATACACTTCAACACTGCATCATTTTCACACAGTGATGAGACATCTCCTAGAGAAATTGTTTATTGAAAGGGTGTGTTTCATATCATTATTTCAGTATTACATAGAAGTGTTTTTAAGTTCTGCGAAACGTATTGGGTCGGCAAAAATCAGCTGCGCTGCACAAACATATCTAAAACTGACTCAACGTTGATGAGATTAATTTCAATTTTGAAAAACATCAACTTCCGAGCATTGTGTCAATTACGGATGAGGTGCTAAAAGAACGGAACAAATGATATGACGTTTACGATTGAATCAAACAATCATTCAACTCGAATGTTTAAAAACGATGCATTATCTACAAGATATGAAATACACGAAAATGGAATCAGCAAAAAAATAGTCACCTTTATCGGAATTGTCACCTTTCTCCTTGAGTTTTCCTCCAACAAAACTTTCCAGCTCATCTACAACTTCAAACATACCCATATCGATTGCACTCAATTGGGCCATTAGTATTTTACCATTTAATCCATTTGTTTTGCAAGTGAAACGATGACATTTTACACACGTTCCCTTCATCAGCTGCAATTTGAATTTACACTTTTTTTTAAACCGGAAAAAATTTGTCACATTGATACCAAATATATAAGCACATCACATCACAAATATATAAGCACAAATGAATAAGCAAATAAATATTTGAATATGGATATACATAAACAATT